AGGATACTATAGATATTAACAGGGTTACAAACGATACAGAAATGTGTAAAGAAAAATCTTAAAGACTTTTTATAAGCATGCATTTTGTGATTTAAAAAAGTATAAACTCATCAACTTGCTTTTTAGGCACATTGGACTCTGGTCTCTTTAGCATTTTTCTTTCTTCTGGGATTTGTATTGCCAAATTTTTATTTTTGAGAGTTTTCCAACCCTTTTGCCCTGCCTTCCTTTTGAGACACTCTGACTGGTATCCTTACCTTTTCTTTGAATGAACGAAACAAAACAAAACTCCATTTTAAGTCCAGGACTAGTAGTTTCAAACTGTAGTGGACATCAGAATCACCTTGGGTGCTTGTTAAAAAATGACCTACCCAGTAGGTTCTGATTCAGTGTGACTGGTTGGGGTCCAGTCCAGGAAACATGATCTTTTAGGAGGTCACTGAGAAACCCTGGTCACGTCTCAGGTGCTGATGTCTGATTATACCTGTTTCCTCCCCATCTGTAATTAGCAATTGACAAAAGGGAAAGAGGGAGCAAAGGATGACTCATGGTGGATATCTGTGTGGGTAACAAATGGTTCATTTGACTGGGACAAAAATGAATAAAACATACTTTAATAGACTTGGAATTTTAGTAGTTTTCTTCTTCTTCTTTTTAAGTTGTTGTTATGTGCCGTCGAGTCAGACCTGACTCATAGCGACCCCTCCTTGGGTTTCCGAGGCAGTATCACTACGGAAGTAGGATTGCTCCATCTTCCTTCTGAGGAGTGGCTGGTGGGTTTGAACCGCCAGCCTCCTGGTTAGCAGTCAAGTGCCGTAGGCACTATGCTACCAGAGCTCCCTCTTTTTAAGTAGCCTATTTTAAATAGGCTCTCTAGGTTACAGGCTGATTGAGTAAGCTTCCTAGTCAGTGACTCCATCCAGCCTGGGAGATGCCCTCCATTGATGGCTACCTTTGTCATTATGCGAGAGGAGGAAGGACTTTGGCAAGCCTTAAATTCAGGTGCTTTTAAAGTGAAGTGTCTGTAATATAATACATCTAATATTAAGTTTTTAATCTGTTAGAATTATTTTTTCTTTGTTATATATAAAGTCTTTTAACCAGATGCCCATTGTGACTTATTAACATCTCAAAAGGGTGTTTAAAAAACCATAAACAATTAACTTTGGGAAGAAAAGTAAATGGGAATATTTCTTAACTAGTGTTCCAAACCCTCAGTGAAGCTGGCAGCCATCAGTTAAATAAACCATTAGATTTATTAGTTTGAGAACAGAAGCATCAACTTGGGCACAGTTTTCTAATTTGCTCCTCATTTACTCAACAATAATTTATTCAGAGGCCTATTGTGTTCTGTAGTGATACCGCCTTGGAAACCCAAGGAGGGGTCACTATGATTTGGATCCAACTCAACGGCAGTGGGTTGGTTGGTTAGTTAGTGGACATTAGATAACTTTACAGATAGAAACCAGAGAT